TAATAATAATAATAATAATAATAATAATAATAATAATAATAATAATAATAATATTATTATAATAATAATAATAATAATAATAATAATAATAATAATAATAATAATAATAATAATATTATAATATTAATAATAATAATAATAATAATAATAATAATAATAATAATAATAATAATTTTTAAAAATATTAATAATATTAATAATGATAATATTAGTATTATTGCAATTATTTTTATTGTAATTATGGTTATAATTATAATAACTATTTTAATAACATAATAATGATAACAGTGCCAAGAAAAAGAGGAAGAAGAAGAAGAAGAAGAAGAAGAAGAAGAAGAAGAAGAAGAAGAAGAAGAAGAAGAAGAAGAAGAAGAAGAAGAAGAAGAAGAAGAAGAAGAAAATGAAGAAGAAGAAGAAGAAGAAGAAGAAGAAGAAGAAGAAGAAGAAGAAGAAGAAGAAGAAGAAGAAGAAAAAGAAGAAGAAGAAGAAGAAGAAGAAGAAGAAGAAGAAGAACTCTTCCACGTTGACATCTTCTGTATGCTTTTCTTTAACAGATTCTACGAGTTTAGCTCTTGCTACACCTAGCCATGGGGTAGACATAGAAACCTCCCACAACCAGTTTCATGAGGGACTCACCAACCAGCTGATAATCAACTGTACTTTCACGCACGTACAGGGCTCTAACCTCAGCACAACCTTGTCGCTGATACTGTCCAAGACGGCTTCTGCTAACGACTCTACCTACAGGTATTTTTGTTAAATTAAGATAACATGTCAAGTAAATTAAGCCGCGTACTCATGTGTTTGAATGTACTTGAGGTATGGTGTTGGATCACGATTTATCATACGAGTTGTAATTTTATAAATTCGGGTTCCAGGACCTGGCTGACTTTCTCCTTTCTCTTTTCAACTCAGTTTTCTTCACAGGCAACTATCCAGAGGAGTGGACTAAGTCTATGATATTTCGTCATCAGCAATGTCTTCCACCCCTGGCAGGGAATAAAACCACATGCATGCTCCTTCCAGTTATCTCTGTCCTGGGCCATCCTTCCTAGCTCTCTCATGTTGCTTTAAACACGCCTCCTCCATGTTTCCTTTGGTCTACCCCTGCCTAGTGCTCCTTGTGGGTTCCACACTGCATCGACTGTCTTGTGGTGTTTCCTCTGGCCTTTCTGAAAGTGTGTCCCATCATTGACATCACGGTTATTGTTGCAAGTATTGGAAGGTAGAAGAAAACTTGCGCATCCAAAATTTTACATTATAAAGCACATGTTATGTATGTATAGTATAAGGTTTTACGGCGCTCGCAACTGCTAAGGTCATATGAGCGCGCGAAAAGCACATGTTAGAAGTTCTGCCTTTTTGTGCTTTATCAGGATCACACCATCATCATAATCATCATCATCATTATAATCAGCAGCAGCAGCAGCAGCAGCAGCAGCAGCAGCAGCAGCAGCAGCAGCAGCAGCAGCAGCAGCGGCAACAACACCACCACCACCAACAACAACAACAACAACAACAAACAACAACAAAAACAACAACAACAACAACAACAGAATCACCATCACCGGCGACATCTATGATGTAACAACAAGGCATTTCGCCGTCTCATACAGAAGTCCACAGTGGGAATCCCGTTAGAGGATACGATCTGTCTGCTGCAACGTTGTTTGCCTCTCAACCTGGGTTGACCAATAAAGAGCCGAGATGTATCGATGGAGGCATTAAAAAAATAAAAGCATTTAGCGTTGTTGGCCTAAAGTGAAGGTTCCTCCTTCTCAAAAGGACCCAAGTGCTAAGTTTAATATTGTGGGTGGTTGGCGGGTGCTCAGGTGTGGTTTTCGACTTCTTTCTGATCAAATGTCTATCGTCCACAGAACTCTCCCTATTTGTTAAGTTCTTGTAATATTTCTTATCTTCGGCACTTACATAAGCTAATTCTATTGCAATGCCGCCACGAAACTCTTACGACACTTAAAAAAACAAAAGTGTTAGGTCCTCAACAGTATTTCCGTAATAGGTATACTATACTGTCTCTCTTTCACTTTCAGGGAAGTTGCTTCTATTACGGCGTTTTCGAACGATAAAGTGGACGAAAAAGACACGATGGGAGCACAAGTGACTGGTCACCACAGAGTTGATGCTTATTCCTTCATCGCTCTAGAGGTACAGGAAGTGTATTGTCCGTCAATATTTCTGAAGTGTTTCTGTTTCCGGAAAGCAATATTGTTTCTGTATAAAATGTCTTACTTTTTTCCATCAGTTAATTACCACTATTTAGACAATGCGCTTCCCTTTACTGAAACAAACAAACAAACAAACAAAAACTTCATAAGAATTTTGCAATACTGATTCCTACACATTTTGACCTCTTCTTACCCGTATTTTCTCCTCCCCCACCTCCCCCCCACTCCCCCCCCCCCCACCATATGGACATACCTGCCCAGCTCAGTAGAAGACAACTACATGTACATACGTCAGGCTCGCTGTGTAGACATAAGACACAGTAGTACACCCATGAGTGACGCAAAGCTTTTTCAGTACCGACTCTCCCTAAAGTCCCTGCCTTATTTTCCCCTCCCCCTCCCCCGACCCTTACACTATCGAAATCGATCGCTTTAAGAGCCACAATTAAACTCAAAATTAGGTAAGAAAACATTATGGATGAAAGGACTGTTTCTGTTCTGT